TTGCCACAAAGAGTCAAGATGGAATTCAGATGAATGTGTTAACATTGGGTGTGAAAGGGTATTGTGCCATTCATGACCCCAAAACAAATTAAAAGCAGTGCACTCTGCACCACGATGGTCAGTCATTTTCACGGCCCAGATTAGAGTCAACAAATGTATTCATTTTCAGTACACTTCTTGATGTTGTGGACCTTGAATAATAAAATTAGATCTGCACAGCTGTATCAGTTGCAAACTGCTACCACGCCATTTAGACATCAATAGCCAAAAGGATAACATCGTCTGCAAACAAGTGTTACTAATGCTTGATACCATAACTGTACTGCACCACTTGCCACTGCCATTGGCACACACCCTTCTGTGTCACTCTACCCACTTTTATGCTGTCATATTAATCATGAGCCAATTGTGTGCAGACATGAAAAAACATTTTTTCATTGTGTAATTTGCACCATACATGGTCACCAAAATAGAGCCCTAAACAGCACAGATCTGTTTTAAAAATGCAATGATGCAATAAATCATTCTCTTTTGATTCTTATCTGTTACTTGTTAATATAATCTAAGATTATTTTTCCTTCCCTTTATTAGTTACTCAACCCTCTTGCACAGAATATGCATGGCCAGTTTTTTTAACTATTAAGCTGCATACAGGGTGGTGGATTGTGCAGGCTGAGAGGTGGGCAAACAGTGAAGATGTGGCTGCTACTTTTTACAGGATTGCATCTGGCAGCTGGGTAATATATATGTGATTGTGGCTCGTACTAGCCAAGGCGCATACTGTGTGTGTGTGTGTGTGTGTGTGTGTGTGTGTGTGTGTGTGTGTGTGCATGTGTGTGTACAGTATGCACGTTTGCGTTCTGATCAATTTGAGGTCAGTCTCCATGCCTTCCAGAAGAAACAGAAAACACACCTGACTACAGCAGATTTAGAACAGAGCTGCTCTCAGTCTCTGAGAAGTCCTACAAGAATGAGAGAGGGAGTGGCCATATGAACACACTACTATAGACACATTATTAACCAATTTTCGTCTGAACTGTCTATAACATGCACGCACATACCAATCTATGTAAGAATATCTTCAAAATAAAGGCCTACTTTAATATTGGATGAAGTCACTGGGTGATAAAATCTGAAGTTGGGATATTAATGTAACATTTCAAACTCATGTAATCAATATTTTCTGTATATGTAAAATTTGCTTAATTACCTTGTTTGTTTAGTTATAGTTTTCAGAATGGCTTTTTAAACATTTTACTGGGCGATTTATATGCATGATCGAATAATAAAGCAATGACAAATGCTTATTTTGTCATTTAAAATGTCTTATCATTTAAATTTAAACCTGTTTCGTTGGTGTTTGATAAGTCTGAGAACCAATCACCTGCCATTAGGCCCCAGTGTGACCCGGATGAAGGGTAAAATAACGTAACATTTATGCAGCAGCGCTTCCAGTGAGTAGGAACTCAAGTTCAAAACAAAGTAAATTGACAAAATCAAGTGTATAGCAGGAGTAATTAAGATTTAGACATGACTTTAAATCAATGTACTTAAAAGGAAACTCAGGTAACTCTAAAATAGTGGTACGAGTTTTTCACACGCCTACACTAACATAAGAGGATCTGTGGGTGGGCATGCGCTCACCTTAGCAGGTTCCTTGCCAGGCTCACTGTACAGGCTGCGTATCCTCCTGCGGTCCAGCAGCTTGTTGTCGGTGGGGTGAGGCTTCACCTGCTCCCCCTTGAATGTGGCAGTGTAGCTCGTTTCCAGACTGCTCTCCTCCAACGGGGGTTTATACTGAGCTGGAGCTTTGATGGGCTTCACTAGTTTCACATCCTTATATGCCTTGAACTCAGTCCTGATAAAAATGTAGAAAACACAAACAAACTTACTTATCACCAGGTGCAGCTGAATGTGGTTTAATACAAACTGCTGTCCATTTTGAAACATGGCAGGACCTAACTAGGTTGGACATAATGAGAGACTTTTATATTGCTCAAGCATTTATAAGGTCTCATGTTGACTGCAGCTCAGCACCAGGCTGTGCAGAGCTCTGCTGCCAGTTTTTTGCTGAATACTTGATTCATGTCACAGGATCATATTCGCCCATTCATTTCTCCATATTGGCTAACTGTTATTTTTCGCACTGATGTCAAAATTTGATCTTTAGCTCTGTAAGCTCTGACAGGGTAACAGTTAGCTTTTTATAGATCATATAGACTAAAATAGAGGCTCATGGACTTTTAAATACAGTAAATATTTTCTATTGTATTAAGAAACTTACTTAGAGAATAGCCTATTTATAAAATCAGCAACTAGATATTAAAGGACCAGTGTGTAGGCTTTAATGGCATCTAGAGGTGTAGTTGCAACCCCCTCGCCTCACCCTCCTGTTGCAAGCATGTAGGAGAGACTACAATGGCCCGGGACTCTATCTAGAGCCACTGTTTGGTTTGTTTGTTCTGGGATACTGTAGAAACATGGTGGTTCAACATGGCAGCCTCTGTGGAAGAGGACCTGCTCCCTACATAAAAATGTCTAATTCTAAGGTAAGGAAAACACAATCATTCTTATTTTAAACTGAAATGCCACTAATGCTCCTGATTTTGGTGTTGGAGTGTGTACTGAATTTTGTTTTTATCTTATTTTTTTCAGTGACTAAGAAAGTGTTTAACTGACTATTTTAATTTGAATTGCAGCAAACAATGTTTTTATCAAACAGATTTAGGGTTTTTGTTAAAAGATAAAAGGTCAACGTCTGAGGAATATCTCTAATGTTTATTATTGTTGTTTGTTGTGTTCTTCTGCACAACTGCTTCTAATTATCAATCTGGGATCCCATTAATTATGAAAGAGTTGGTTGTGTTTTATGGCCTAGAAATAATATAATAACTGCGCTTTAATAAGTAGCACATTAAATTTATTGGCCAGTTCAGTTCATGTGGAATAAGTTTAACAAACGAACAGAACTGTGTTGCACTGGTATATTGTATGTTAACTTCAATGTTTCAGTAGGCGGACTGAAGCCATCCGGTCTTATTAACTTGCATTATGCATCCCCAATTCAATTCCGAGGAAGTCTGTGCAAAGAAACCAGGATAACACATGATTACATTCAGACCCTTTTACTGGCTGTACTCGTTCATGGGCTATTGCATTGATTTGGTACTCTTAGGGAGGATAAGGCAGAAAATCAATAATGCAACCTTTATCTGTGGCAATATCAGTTTGCTTTGGAAATCACTGGAGACTGTAAGGAGATACCACGCAATGCCAAATATCCCCTGATGATCTCTGAATGATGTTTTATCACTGGACAGGGCTGTGTGGCATACAGAGGTTACCTCGAAAGGGCTGTTGGTAGTTTTAAAGAGATGTTGTGTAACAGTGCCACAGTTGTAAAGTCGTAGCAAAACAGAATAAAACGTTTATTCCAGTCGGCTTAGAATAAATCATTCCTGCCACCACACATGATCGTGTCTCCCTCTCTCACACACTTTACCTGTAGCTGCTGGAAGACGACATAACCTCCTTTATCTGTCTGTTGAGAGCGTCTGCGGCTGCTCTGCCTTTCCTCTGCTCGGCACCCACACCCGCGGCCACCTGTCCCTCCGTCTTTTCACCCGTTTGTCTCTCCGCTGACTTTTCCCTCTTGGTGCTTTTCTTCACCGCCTCCTTTGACTCTTTCTCCTGCGTTTTCTCCTCGATCGCACTCTTCTCCACGCCGCTCTCGGCCTCGGCGGCCGCCTGCTCCTGTTTACCGCTCCCCGCGCTGCGCTCCGGCCCGCCGGTGGGGCTCGGTTTGGGGATCCAGGGGTGGTCGTGCTTTTTCGGTATAGGCCAGGGCTTGTAGTCCTTCTGATACTGAGTTTCGTTATTGAACGGGGTCGCCGAGCGTTGGTACTCGTTTCTGGGCTTGCAGCTGGGCTCGGGGCGCACTCTCCACGCCTTGAAGTCTTGGCGCATGACGGACGCAGAAGAGCCATCTTTGCCCGCTGCGGCACCCGTCGCGGGCGGTGCCTTCCCTGCCTCCTGCTCGTCGGGATGGGGCTGGGTTTCTATGGCAATGCCACCGGCCCTCTTCTGTCTCGGCTGCGGGTGATGGGGCAGATGCTGCACGTCGGCCACATCCGAGTATTTGGTGAAAACCAAAGGCACCGCGATGTCCGCTTTGTCCAGCTCGGTCCAAAAGCGGTTGATGCAGCAAGCACGCGTAATGCACGGCCATGCCATGATAAATACTAGGAGTCTGACAGGAAAAAAATAAATGCACAGAGAAAAAAACCCTCTAAATGAGGGATAAACGTGTTAATAAACGTCCTACTCACGACTCGAAGACCTGCAAGTGCTCGGTCCCTCACCCTGTGCCCTCTCAGTTTTTGTCCAGTCAGGGTTATTCCTCCTTCTAGCTTTATGTAATTCTCAGATGAGTATATCTCACCAATCTTTGCATGAGACTAAGGAAGTAGAGCCCCCACGCTTCCCCCTCACTCACCCTCTCTCTCTTTCTCTCTCTCTCTCTCCTCTTGCAGGCTATTTGTTCTTATTGGAAGTTTAAATGGAGTTTGGGGTTTGCTGTGGAGTGCACATTGCTGTCTGGTTGCGCATCAAAGCGACCCCACCCACATTTGTATGATGCTTCGAGATGCCCGGGGTCTGCACCGTGAGTCTGCACGGTGAACTATCACCTGAGCTCGTCACCGTCTGGCCAGCAAAGAGGGAGGAGACACGTTTAACCCCTGTGCTGCCATGCTCAGAGAATACCAGCTTAATACCACAGTGGATGCATGAAAACAGCAGCCTTTTGTTGGTGCCTTTGGAGGAAATGGCAGATAATATTGCTGAAAATCTGAAATAAGAATCATATATATATATTTTTTTTTACATTGACATGTTTTTCAGTTTCAGGTGGAAGCTGGATGGATCCAAAAATGAAGTATGCAACTGAAAACAAAAAGACAAAAATAATAAAAATGTCACAAACCTCACTCAAAGTGCCATTTTGCATTATACACAAATTATTTTATTAAACAAAACTGAAAAAAATAAAGATTGTTAAAGTTTATGTAAAATCAAAACTAGTTAATGAGTATTTTGGCTGAAAGAGAACCACGTTTCCATAACGATCACAATAACTTACAATCACTGCAACATCCGGAGTTTTTTTGTTTCTCACAACATATCAGGATATATTCCTCTCGTTCAATGCCAGTTATTTGATCAAGAACTATTTAAATCAGAATGCACCCTATAAGAGGTAAACATCTTAACTACCCAAAATACTTAGCTGCATAAGCTTCTTATTTATAACAAGAGTGCTTCCCATTGAGCATGAATCAAGGAATACTGCCAATGTTGGTGTAACTGCTCCCTCTTGTGCTTTTCCTGCATCATAGTCAGTGGAAAGGAATCAGTGTAATGTAGATCAACATGGCCACTTGCCTCCAATAATAAAGAAAGCAATAAATTAGCTGTGTACGGCAGTTCATTTGTGCAGAATAATCCACATCCACCATATTTAGCAAATAAAACAATGAAGAAAAAAAAAAGGTTAGAAAATACTTTCATTAAGATCACTGTATAATTACAAAGGAGGCTGGTCTAAGGAAACAGCCTGACAAAGACTCAAAACATCCAATATTTACAGATCATGCCCACCTGCCTTATATTTCTAGACATTTTGTGGTGTTACGATTTTTATTGAGCCTTCGGTGAGTATTTATTTCAATGTTTTCCTCCTACCAGATTTGCTTATTTACAATGCAAGATTAAGCATTTAAATACAACATTAAGAACAAATGTATTTTTTCTTGGGGACCTCCGGGACTGAATACAAATGGCATCCATTACATCTGCAGTAAAATTTGTACTTCACATCAAGGTGTACAAAAACATGAATGAGTGACCAGAGGAGAGTGTGTTAATGACTGACAGCATATCTGTTCATTCATTTTTGTCCCGAACAGCTTAGCTCAGTGTCTTTGTCATTATCATTTCGTCGCAGCATCTTCCTCAGCCACTTCCTCAGCCACTTCCTCAGCCACTTCCTCGGCCTCGGCCTCGGCCTCAGCCTCGGCCTCAGCCTCAGCCTCAGCTTCAGCTTCAGCTTCAGGATCATCCTCTGGATAGAGTCTGCAGTATTTGTCAACCATAACATCCAAGTCGTGTTTGACGTGAGTGTTAACGTTAAGCATCGCGAGACTTTTGTTCCACTGCTTGGCGGGCATGCCGTCAAGATAGGCCTGCAGCCGTGTACTTGCGGTGTCGCTTTTGTTGTCCTCTAATTTCAGCACTGGCAAGGTGGAGAGCACCTTGAGGAAGGAGTTCACGTTGGGAAAGAACTTGACGTCTGGCAGCTGAAGGGTTTCGTGGATGGTGGTGGGCAGGCGCACCTCTTTGCCCCTGTGCTTCCACTTGATCCTCCAGCAGTGTAGCTCTGCGGGAAGTGTGTCTGGGTTGGGGAGGTCGTTGCGGTAAACATCTGCGTAGTTCTCCTCGGTGGTGTTGAACTTCATCTGGCCCATGACAGCTGGGACCAGTGACAGGCATTTGAGAGCTTTGAGGTTGGTCTCAGAGAACATGTCCCCCACCTCCTGCATGATTCCCTGGATAATGGGGATAGTCACGTACTCCTTAAAATACACCTCTGCTTGGATTTCGCCCATGTCGGCTGCGCGCTGTTTCCGAAGAAACAGCCTCGGGATCTTGACGGGAATCTCCATTACATTGGCCACGCTCACAGCCTCCTCGTACCAGAACTCGTGGTAGACGTCAATGTTGTCATTGACCTCGTTTAGCGAATGCAGGACAGCAGTTAGGCTGTTGGCAGCAAAAAACACGTCGAGAGTTTCCCCTTGGAGATTCCTCCCGAAGGCTCTGGTGAATGTGAGAACGTTCTTCAAGATGATGACGGTGACAATGATCTCGAAATCAGCCAGAGTTTCTGTGATGGAATATGCGTCCGCTGTGACAGTATCAGCAAACTTTCCATCTTCGTTGTCCCGGATGCTGTCCATGCACAGCAGCAGGGGCGGCAACATGTCTAGCAGCACGTCAAATACATTGTGCTGCTCTGTCCATCCTAACCTACAGGCCTGTATCAGCGCAGTTCCTTTCTCTTCATTCTTCTGGTAGTGAGTAGAGATGGCTTTTTCTAGCGCACCCTGCGTAAACGGGGTTCTAAAGAAAGCACCAATCCTCCTCAGAATCTCCATGACGACCTGGACATTAGGAAAAGGCAGACTGTTTGCCAGGTGGAGGTTCAGTGCAATATGAGAGCAAGGCATGTGCAACGCCAGGGGATATTTCTCCATCAATAATACTGCCACAGCTTTCATTTTGGTGGTAGAGGTGCCAGTGGCCTTGTGGGCCTGACCACGGCAGTCCTCCATGCTGAGCCCCCAACGGTCGGTCAGCTGGGCCTCCAGCCTCTCTACCAGGGCAGACTCATCGCCATCAAACGCCATAAAGTCCAAAAACTCCTCTCGAAGGACGTTCTGCTGATTTACAAAGCGCAAAAATAGAGGCAGGTGTTTCTCGTTGGCAAATTCAACAAGGTCGCCGGTCACTAGGGAGAAGAAGCGACTCTCTCTCACCTCCATCAGCATCTCTTCCCTCACTGTGTTCTCACAGACGTCCAGGAGCTGGCTCTGCTGGGTTGCAGAGAGGTATTCTGTGTTAACAGCTGTCGCCTCAAACCGCTTCTTCAAAGCCTCGTCTCCAGCATTCATGCGGTAGTCTAGAAGAGCCTGGAAGTTGTTGGACACGTGTTCAGCTTCAGATGCTTTTTCAGCCACTAATGGGATACTCTGTTTTCCCAACATGACCAAAACCTCAAACAAGGATCTCAGGTATTCACGAAATGCCTTCTCCTCTGTGGACAGCTGAGGTTCATCCTCATTTGTGCTTGCGCTGTCCTCAACTGCTGCATCTTTTTTGGAGTTTAGCTGTTCAATAGAAGATGCCACTAGAAACAGACAGACAGACAGACAGACAAGAAAGGAATAGTTATCGTTTTAAGTAAATGGATACTGACTAAAATAATATTCAATTAGTTTACATGTACGACCATAATTAAATGTCATATTTACTTACATCTCCTTTCTTTGATCTTCCTTAGGTCTTCTTCAGTCTGAAATTAAAAACTTAAAATTAAAATCAGACAAAGGTTGGTCAAACCATGAAGTGTAGGAGGTACATTTAAAAACAACCATAAAAGGTGACCTAAGAGTTAACAAATATTTTCCTTACAAGTTCTTTAATCCGCTTGCGATGTCTGGTATGAGGATTCCTTAGATGGCTTGTCAGATCAAATATAGTTGGAATGGCTGTATCCTTCAATACAGTCCTATAAGGGCTCTGAAAAACAATAAAATCAAATAAGCCATTTTTGGGAGATAAGAGGAAACATGCTATTAGGCTGTTGGCTAGAACTATGTGAAATACTCACTGTTTTGCACACCATAGCCGGGTCGAAGTGTTTGGCACATAATCGGTAGTGCTTGTTCAACTGATCTGATGTTTTTGCCTCTAGATCTGCCCTGCGGCAGTTCTCTACCCAGATTCTGCATCTAAAAAGACACAAAAACCAGCTTCATGTGACATTTATAAACATCACAATGCATTAAGACAATAGCTGTGTCTGTATAAACGTCTATAAATTAAGTATGTTCATACAAGTTAGAAAATTACAACATCAACTAAAGTGATATTGACAAATGTTATACAATATATAACAATATCAAAGAGCTAATCAGAGCTGTGAGAAAAATGTCACACTGCGGTGAAAACTGCCCTCATCACAAGTTAGAATATGAAGAGATACTGTAATAAATCCTTGTTTTATGTGGAATAATCAAACATGAAAGTGGTTGTAGTTTTTCATAGCTAGATTGTGTATTACAGAGACATCAGCTGACAGTATGCTACAATAACTAACCACTAACTTTCCCATTACCTGCCACAGAATGACAGAATAACAGTTGTGTTTATACTGTACATACGATAATGAACCTCTTGAATCTCGTAATAAGCCTGCATATTCAAGTTAAAATACCAAAAAATTGGCACAGACATTTATGGTTAAACAGCAGGAAAATGATTTCTACACTCCACATGAAAACATTTGTGTTGATGAGTAACATACCAGTGTTATGCTTTCAGTCATTCTAGTAACTCGGACAAAGAAATCGCACAGTTTAACGGCAGCTACATGAATATTTGACTTTATTAACGTTATATATGATGTCTTACCTCTCTGGGTCCCGTGGAAACCTAAAAAAAGCCAAATCTGACTGTGTGCTCTTCCGTGTACAGTTCGGGGCCGCGCAAAAATTGGGCATGCTTCAGGCTAGGTAGTTAGCTTAGCTAACTGAGCTTACTATTACCATCTGCTAACTTGAGCGCTTTCGTTGGGGGGTTGCGTGGACACAGGTGTTTACTAACACTGACTGACAACTTATATGACCTCAAACAGAGTCCGATAGCCGTTTCCGTAAACAACTATCGAGAGTGCAGACTGTTTCCACAGAACATTCACAACGGTTGAATTTTGAGTAGGTCGATTTTTGCAGAGCTATGCCCCGCCCACAATTAATCTGATTGGCCTTCTCTAAACTCTGAGGCGCAACTATTGGTCGTTCGCGTTCCAGATCTATTCTGTCGACCAATGAAAAGACAGCCAACCGATGTTTCTTCTTCGCCGTTGGACATGGTTGCAGCGGCTCTTCAGGGAGCGCGGTCTGCTGCCATCAACCGGCCACATCACTGCAAGACAGGAGCTAACTGTTAGCCAGCTACAGGGATGGGGCGACCCGTTTGATGGTCATTGTATTTACTGAACTGGTTGATGTACGCTGGCTATCATGCGATGACCTGTTTCTGATGTAGACCATTAACTGACCGTATGTAGTGCTATTCTAGAAAAGTAATCCAATCGATAAACGCTAGCTGACGTTGTGTGTTGCTATTGGTTCCCCTCACGGATTCCTCTCGATCAGTGGCTACTTAACCGCATGTACGTTATTTATTACTGTAAAAGCTTTGCTATAATGTTTATAATATGGATAAATGTACGATATAAAAGTAAGAGAAGATATGAGGTAACGTTAGTGTTCAACCCAGGTACTAAACGTGGCTGATGTGATGGTATTGATACCTGGCTCGTTGGTCTAGGGGTATGATTCTCGCTTAGGGTGCGAGAGGTCCCGGGTTCAAATCCCGGACGAGCCCGCCTTTTATTTTCTCCCCCCACCCTATGCTTCGGCAGCATTATCAGTGCGTTTTTGTGGCGAAGATACATGCACACTGTGTTTTCTGTGGCCAGGGCCCCTCGAGACGGACAGCAACATGCAAGCACAGGGACAATGGCGAGCCCCCGGAAACCTTGCAGAGACAGCAGGAATGGGGATGGGGGTGAGGCGAGTGGCATCCATCCTCACCATATCCTTTGAGGCTGCTTCGTGTTCCTACGCATTCACGTATTAGCCGCAGTCCGTCGGCGCGTAGCAACGCCCCTCCCTGTGTAGCAAAAGATAGAGGGCTCGTCCGGGATTTGAACCCGGGACCTCTCGCACCCGAAGCGAGAATCATACCCCTAGACCAACGAGCCGGAACGTATGGACGGAGCTCCTCATCTTTTATAAAATTCTGTAACAAGACATAGTCGGGCATTGCATAATCTTTTTGTCTTTGTTATGTAAATTGATGTGCTCTAGGCATGGTAACGATAGCGAAAGCACTGTGAGATTATGTCTTTCTTGGGATTATGTATGATTTTGTTACCAGGGGTGAAGGGTGAAGGGTGAAGACTTCTTGTAAAGTGGCTAATGAAGTTGTCAGAGAACAATAAAGACACACAGAGCAATTCAATTAACTTCTTTTTATATATCATACATAAGACTGTCTTAATATAATACAAAGGGCATTGTCATAAACACAGCAAAGTCTTGACTAGATCTTACAATCTGTGGATACATGGACTTATCCTTTCCCCCATGCTGTTCAATTCTATAGTGCATGTTGCATGTACAAAAAAAGTGAAAAAATGTGAAATCAAAAATGAAAAGGATAAATCCAAATTAAATAAGAGGATTTCAACTTCTGTTGGGTGTTCAGATATGTCAACAAGTATACGTGTTTGTGTATAACCCACAAACTCAACAGGCTTATGAAAGATGGAACCTTTTTTTCAACCATGTGCTTCTCATATAACCAAAAAGTAAGGTTTGTGATGTACATGCACTTACAATATACCCTGTGAAAATTATTAAGGTTTGAAGATCTAGCTTTCCCTGTTTGATTCAAACCCTACCTCATAGTGTTGTCCTGATGTAGTCAAGTACCTTTGCCAAAAGGCAAGGTTTTGCCACTAAGAAAACAGGAGTTCCTGCCCACTGAATGGTCACCAAATTGACAAACATAATCAACATACCAGCAGGAGCAAGGTAGTGAGTTCTATACTTCCTTTATTAAAAAAATATAAATATATACATAAATTCTATTTCAACTATTAAAAAGGGGCTGCATTTCATGACAACTGCTCTAAATAAGAGGTCAATCAGCATGATCTGAAATAGGCGCACACTTACGAGTCACTGCAGTCAATTTTTTTTCTTCAGTCTTTATTTTTGGAATGTTTAGTACCAGTATGAGTGCCAGTAATAAAACCACTGGCAATTTCTAAATGTCTCAAATTCTGCGGGGTATGAAAAATGATTGCAAATTTGCAATTAACCTTGACATCCAGATAAAACCCCAATCTCAATATAGGTAGCTTTACATTTGTGTTTGTGGAAATACCAAGCATGATTTCTTATGATGGTTTCTCCTTTAAAATGGCAACAGCATGACCTGTGGCCTGCCCTTAATTTGAATGGTGGCTGTGGGCAGGTTTTTCTGTCTAATTTCAAAGCTGGTAAAATGAGCAACAGAAGAAAGAAAGCACTTCAAAATCCCTGATATAAAAAAAAAATCTGGTTATTGACTGTAATGTTTTGAGGACATGCATGTCTGCTTAGGCAAAGCATGTGATTGTGGGCTGACGGACACCCTTTCCCTTTGAATAGGACAACAATCATGGGGGATCTGCCCTACCAAATCCAGAAAAATACCATTCAACACAATTATCCTTACCCTGCCAAGACAATGACATTAAGTCTTGCTTCACGGCAGAAACTAGCCAAGTTGACCAAATGATGTATGAAAGGCAGCAAAACCCTTTGAAATAGTATGATGGGGGCAAAAGAAAAACGACGACACAGAAATAGAACGCATTAGTCTCCTTTTTTTTTTTAAACCATCAGCTTCTATCTTGCTACTCCGGAGCCTGCAGAGTAACTACCAAATTCTCTAACATACCAAAGTTTTAAAAGACTCCCAAAATAATCTACCAATTAATATGGAAACAGTTTTGGTAAAACGTTGCAAACAAATCTGGCCAGAATACACAATAGCCAACGGTCTCAACAACGGTCTCCAGTTTTGCTAAAGTAATATATTGCAGCTGTTTGTATTGACGTTAAAATAAGATCTTGATAAACTTTGCGTCAAAGTGGTGAACTGCTACATTATTGGTTACAGACACCTATATGCTATAAAACAACTGCTTTGGTATAAAAACATATCCAAAGGGAAAATAAATTCTTGTAAAATTCACAGCATAATTTGAGGAGAAAAAAGGCAGTCACTTAACTCATTTTTTTCTTCAGTTTCCATGTTTTGGATGGAGAGACTTGTGCAGGTGGTTCTGATGAGGAACTACATGCAAAAGGGAAAAATAACAAAACATAAAAGGGTAGACTCTGGAATAGATAGTTCTTTCCACTGCAAAATCCTTAATCAGTGAATAAGATTTTCAAGGAAGTAATGTTTAGGAGGTTGTTGTGTACAATAAGACCCTGTTATGTGGGGCCCTGCTGAAGAAGAAATCTTTGTCGAGAAAGGCCTCAAATTACCATTCTTATTTACCTTTTCTAAGTTGTTTTTAATTTCCTTAAAGAATTAAGGGCTGTCTAGAGAGAAAAATAGAGAAAAGCCATCTTAATTCAAATGATAATGTCCAGCTCCATCCCATTCCAAGTCCATGAGTCATAAGGCCAAAGGGTTATCTAGAACCAGCCACTGACTGTCTTCCTTTCACTGGGCTGGATCCTTTCGTCTCCCGTGCCCCATCGCTGCTCTCATCTGTGCCGGGCCCGGTTGCAGCTTGCAGGACTACGGGGCCTCTAGGCCTGAGGGGTGGTGCTTCCCTCTCCTTTGACCCGGTTGGTGTCAGTATCCACCTGCGGGGTCTCCTCTCCACCCGGCCAGCACACGCTACAGGGACTCCACTGCTATGTGCTCCCCTTTAACAGAGTTACACAATACCGACCAACAACAAGAAATATCACCGCAAACAATTCCCCTCATTGTCAAGCTACAGGATTTACAAGCAGCTTTTACGAGAAATTTCACTTAAAAAGGGCAAAATAATTAAGAACCAGTGGAACAGTAATGTCAGGCAGTCCACGGTTTGAACCGAAAGAGGACGCCAAGCATTTCATCACCAACAGCTACCTGCAAAACAGCTTCAAACTTCGCTCTGAAATGCTCCTTAGAAGATTTTGCCACATAATACCATATGGTGATTACTTGGTGGTTACATGAAACTGGTGAAATGGTAAGATGGATGTCTCAATCTCACTATGGTTATTCCGCAGTATTATTTTGTGCCTAATGATTGCAAAAGAAAAACTGATGAAAATTACATATATACTTTTTAACAAAGGTTTTTCTCTGTAGTAGCGGTTCAGTGATATCTCCCTTCTGACGTGAGCAGCTTTTGTTCTCAACACACCTTGTAGTAAAAAACACCACCTTAAAAATGACGCACAGGGGGAACACACAGCCAAATGTCAGTGCAGTCACGAGCTGGCCATAGAACTCTGCTGCACACACACTCCAGTCATTGGAGACTCCTCCCGGTCCATGCCCTGCCTCATGCCCAGGTGGCCTTCCGCTAGGTAGTGGGCAGGCCCTGTGTTCGTGCCCATGGAGAATGCAGGGTGCGCTGCCATGCCAGTCTCCTGCCGTGGGTTCGAGAAGGCACCTAGCCCCATGCTCAGCCCACCATTCTGACCAAAGTCAAGGGCTCCGGCAGGCAAATGGCGGAGCTGGTAGGCCTGGTTGCCATGGTTCCCAGTGGAAGAGGACGATGTAGAGGAAGAGGAGGCAGAGGAAGACAGGGAGGTCATGGACAGATGGCCATGAACCACCTCCATGGAGTCCTGTGTCGAGGAGCTGTGTGTCGGGGAGGTGTAGTGGCGTGGGCGTGGCCGTGTAGCCATCATCTGCCCGTGGTGGTGATGAGTATGTGAGTGGGGATGCAGGGCCTTAGGGTGCTGAGGGGGAACATGGAAGGTGGTCTCCTGGACTGGGTGGGTCTCTCCAGTGACTGACTCTGGTCCAACGCCACCTCCCCACACCAGTGGGGGTGGGTAAGGCTGTCTTGCCTGTCAACGTCAAGGAAATAACAAGCGTCAGTTGTGGAATATGGCTGCATACTGGTTTTCAGTACACTTAATGAAATAAAGTTTAAAGGTTGATATCATTCTCAGTTTAGGAAGCACTGAGACAGTCACACTTCCATAAAATCATTTGTTTTGTTTGTTATCAGTTGTTTATTAGACAAATGTATTAATTTTGTTGTTGTTTAAAACCACCACTCTGCTCAGTATCGGATAAAATTTCAGATCGTTCCAGATCACGAACTGACCTGTGGGCAGAGGCTGTCACCATCGATGGCAGGCAGGGCCGTGCCGAAGTGTCCTCCACTGTGCAAGTGGTGATGGGTAGGGTCCGATCTTGCTCTGCCACTGGTACTTGTCCCAGATGATCCTCCTTAGGATTAAACAGAAGTGTCACGAGTGCAGCCTTAATACCAGCACATAAAATATGTCGTATGGTACAACAGGATTAGATTCAACAGTTTAAATATTATTATTTCTTGTTAATAACTTGCTACAGTTTACAGTATTGATACCAAGTTCCACAAAATAAATACCCCTTACAAAAAGATCATTGTAGGGAAGTGGTATGATCAATTTCTTGTGTTATCTTAGAACACACAACTGACAATATGCTTCACTACTGTAAAGGAAGAACAGTGGAGCGTCTGCCCATAGTTTTCTGCTGACAGTTACCTGAACTAGAGGAGGTGCTGGAGGTGGTTCCTGAAGACTGGGACTGCTCTAATGCGGGGCTTGTAGACACGCTGCTGCTTGTATTGGTCCCCTCGTCCGCAGTCTTCTTGAAGAAGCTGTGCTGCAGGGCATAGTAGGGCTGGATGCGGCTCTTAGGGTCATAGTCCAACATCCGGAGGATCAGGTCCTTGAACTTCAAGTAGTCAGCAACAGCATGGCCAGACTCCCCCGCCCGCCGGCCACCTGGACCCCCTGTCTCCACACCTAGGATGGAGTGGAGCTTCCGCGAGGCTGGAGGCTTATACTGTTTAAGGCAGACGACGCAAAGATTAAGAGATTTGCTCAACCATGACTCAAGTATATGATCACACAATCTACCTCGTTTTTAACAATGATCACAAAAACACAAATTTAAGTCAGAGTCTAACTGCAGCAAAGAACTGAGCTTACCCTTTTGCCATCTTTGGTCTTCTTAACACTCCATGTACCATCCGAAAGCTTCTCAAAGAACTTCCTGGCTTTTGGGGCTAGGTCCATTATGTGATTAGGCGGGATACCAAGAACCTCGACTATTTTGTTCATCTGGTCCACCTGGGGGAAACGTTAGTGATCAAGTTACTGTAACATTTACACACTGGATACATTTCTATATGCGGTGTATGTGAAGTTAAATGTCATCAAAAGTCCCAA